ATTTAGAGCAAACATTTCTGAAACAATCTCTAATATCTTCTAACCAATTTTAGAACACCACCGACGATTTCAGAGTTATGCCACACACTTGAGCCAATAGAGTTATTGTTATTTGTACACTTCATTATGTACAAATATTACAGCTGCTACATTCCAATTTTTTTTTCCAAACTAAGAAACGCACATCTTATTCGTTGAATATACAACCAAAACAGTCTTCATAATCAATAAAACCGGCAAAACTGCTATCTATGCTTTCGCTCAATACAAACAAGAATTGGGGAAGACAATAAAAAAGAAGAAACTAGAGATGAGAGTAAAAGAATGTTACTTGTTGAAACTACTTATTTGTTCTCCTGCTATTTACTGTAACTGTTGTTCACTGCGAAAATTGTGGTTTATAATTATGGAAGCTGATTGCATACTCTATCCTGTTCCAAAAGAATTGATTGAACTCTTTCTTGTTGTTTTTCTAATTCAAAAAAAAAACATTTTCTGACTGAATGAATAGCGCCTACACGAAGATATTCCATTGTGGGTTTGTAAAACGTTTAAATATTCCCATCTTCGATCAAATATCGTTACCGCGGTGAAGATTTGACGCTTCAATACACGTTTAAGTACCATATAATTTTGTTTTAACCGCGTTCCAAGTTGGATAGATAACGATCTCGCGTGCGCCGAGCCGCGTCGGACGTCTAATTGTTTAATTGATGAAGGAGGCAGAACCCGCCGACGACGTAACTTCGAAATTAATCGTCGTCCTTCTGTTATGTAAATTAAAAGCCGCGAAGAACAAACGATCGGCTTCAACAAAAGACCCTTGCCGTCGTTGTTAAATTCCATCGTTGTCAGTTTTCTTATTATCATTTTTTGTTATTGTCAGATTTGTTATTGTATTCGCTTCCGAAACACACTCCGCATTCTCTTTATCTTAATAGAAAATAATTTCGGGCGTTGCCGTTCGCGTGGGTACAATATTTAAAATTATCAGATTCAAATTTTTTTTCGTGTCGCTTTGCTGCCACGCGTCTGGTCGTATATTAGCTCGCTGTCGCGTACGTAGATAGTTAACAAACGCCAAGAGACGGTAATTACCGGCTTGTACGATTCAAAATAATGCACTGTAAATCATGGCTTGATACGAGACCGAATGATATTAATATTTAAATGGACGGGGCCCGTACGATATCGAGCCCGTATTACGGCGATTTGCAAGTATAGTTACGACACAGGGACGACTATACGTTTGTTCTACCCTCGTAGCTTATGAAAATTACGTTATAAGTAAGATACAAGAGACGTTTGGTTAAAGAGATTTACATCACTTCTTTTTTCTTCTCAAATTTATTTATATTTATCTTTGTTTTCATATTTTAACAGTGCCAGCCCATTTGTTGCTTTTACGTCAAAAGCCGACAGCTGAAATTATCCAAAAGTTGAATTTCATTACGATTTATTTAATTTTACAACTCTTTCAGGAACTCTTTCGAATCTGCTTTTTGCTGCATACCCTACATCTCTTCCTTTGCGTTCTGCTAAGCTTACTCAGAAAATGTATGGCAGTCTCCGATTTGTCTGCAGTAACTTTTAATCGGTAATCATAGAAGCTCATTTTCTGCTGCGTAGCCTTTTTGAAAAGAAAGTAACTCTTGAGTAGAACCATTGATACCAAATTTATGACTAACTTCTTATACCATCTTAGAGTTTTCCTCTCACTAGTATAATATGAAAACATCTAGTCTTGGCGATCGATACCTGACATATTTGCATTGTACATAACAATAGCTGTTGGTTTTCTGACAGTCTCTCCTCTGTTTCCCATGTTTTCTTCAAATTCTGTGGACAAAAACAGCATCTCTCTCTTATCCCTCCACTTGCTTACTGAGACGCCTTGAGCATATTTTTGAATTACTTCTTCTTTCTTTATTTTAGATCTGGCGACTACTTCCGGATTCCCCCTTTCGAAGGGTACCAGTCACGTAAGTTCCCTTGTCAAGTAATTTATGAGACAGAGAAACGCTGTTATAAAAATTGTCCATATACAAGGAATGTCCTTTATTTTCAAAACCTTTCATTAGCGTCATTACTACTTTTTTAGCATGTCCTATGCCACCCAACTCCCCTTGAGCACCATAACGAGATAGAGGATATAACGCTGGAGTAAGTCAAGCCAGCGCTACAATTGTTACATGAGAGATTGAAGCAAGTCCCAAATAATCTCCATATACAAGAACGGAAATAGGAAGGAGTGCGGGCATTACAGAGAGTTAAGTATAACGTCATCACTTGAGAGGTTGTATGGAAGAGTCTTAAAAACTAGGATAGAAAGGGAAATTAAGGAGGAAAAGGAACAAGTGGTTCATTCAGGTGCATTCACGCTTACACACTTAGTTGAGAAGAAGCTGTCAAAAGGAAGAGAAATGTATATTGCATATATAGATCTAAGAAAAGCGTTCGATATGGTCCCGTTTCAGAAATTATGGATTGCCGTGACAGATGCAGACATCAACGGAACTTACATCCATGCTGTGAAAGCGTTATACAGGGATAACGCGGCTGAGGTTCAGGTAGGAAAACTCACAACTGATGCTTTCTCTCCTACAAAAGGTATCAAACAAGGATTACCGCCTCTCTCCCACAATATTTAAGATCTATATTCACCCAACCCTAAAAATAGCAAAAGGAAATGTAACCCGATGGGAATATGGGTAGGAGACAACCACATATACACCATGCTGTTCGCGGAAGACCAAATAGTTTCTGCGGAGGGTAAAGAAAATACGATATATAATATGTCAAATAAACTAGAAGAAGAATATGATAAATGGGGCTTGGAAATGAACAAAGATAAGACCCAATATATGGTAACTGAAAGAACGGGAAAGAACATACAATTGGAGACCGGCATAATAAAACATGTAGACTAGTACGAATACGTTGGGATTTTTATAAACGAAGACGCAAAGGACAATAGAGATGTAATGAAGAATGTTGGCAGAGGAAAAAACGATACAAAGAAAGTAAAATTTGTAAGGCCATTATAGAACCATTAATGACGTATCTACGCCGAATGAGTAAAGAAAGAATCCCACTTAAGATTTGGCCTAGAAAAAAATGTATCCAGGATATCAATGTCGAGATGAAGAGAAGAGGACTGGGTGAGGATGATTGGAATAATAAGGATCGCTGGCGGTTGGGAAGCAAGAAGCGGCAATAAGAAAGCTGCAAATACTGGCCAAATAAAATAGAATAGAATAGAAATATACGACTCCAAGGGAGATATCCACTGTAATCAAAGAAAATATCGACCCGAAGGAAGCTCCTGGTTATAATGATCCTAAATCGGGGAAACCACCAAACGAAGTTTCGTCATACAGACCAATATCTCTATTACCAGTAATATCAAAATTATTTGAGAAGATACTATTAAAAAGACTAAATCCTATACTCGAGGAAAGAAATTTGATACCATCACATCAGTTTGGATTCAGAGAGGGACACTCCACCATAGACCAGATATAATATAATAACTGACGTTATAAAAAAATTGATAGAGAGAAGGAAAGTCTGTTCTTCTGGCTTTTTGGACTAAGCTCAGGCATTTAATAAAGTTTGGCATGAGGGACTGAAATACAAACTGAACAAAAACTCTCGCCCAAACAGTATGCACAATTGCTAGACTAGTATATATCAGAACGAGCCTGTAGAATATAGCAAGAAGATGCTTATTCAGATTTAAAAGAAATTAATGCAGGCGTGTCATAAGGAGGTGTACTTGGGCCAGTCCTGTATCTTTTGCACACTAGTGATCCCTAAATTAGAAAACGATACTATGGCTACTTTTGTTGATGACACGGCCATCCTAGCCATAGGCAATAATCATGAAGAAACAGCAAATAGACTACAGACATCAATTAATAAAATTAATGACTGGACCAAAAAATGGAGAATTACCTTAAATAAGAATAAATCGGTACATGTTAATTATAGAAACAAAAGGGAGCAATATACACCAATCAGAGTAGATGATAAACAGATACCACATGCGAACACAACAAAATATCTGGGATTAACCTTAGATGCAAAACTTCGCTGGAAGGCTCATATCAAAAAGAAACGGGAAGAGCTCGGAATCAGATATAAGAAAATGCATTGGTTACATATTAACATATAATAAGTTACTTATATATAAACAGATACTGAAACTGATATGGACATATTTGATTCAACTATGGGGATGTGTCAGCGAAAGCAACATCCAAATCATCCAGAAATTCCAGAATAAAGTGTTAAGGAACATCGTTGATGCACTCTGGTACTTTCGAAGTAGTGACATCCACCGGGACCTGGAGATGGACACTGTCAGCCAGACGATCAACAAATTTAGCAAGAGCCATGAATAGCGGCTTTTAGACCACGTGAATATTGAGGCTGGATGGCCTCCTCAACAACACAAACCAGACGAGAAGACTCAAGAAAACGAAACCTTTTGAGCTAGTTGTTTGAGTGCTAAGTGTAAAAGCAGAGCAAAGTGCGAGATTATGCATGTTTACGGTTGGTGTTTATTTTTATTAGTACAATCCAAGTAATTTCTACTGAGTAAGACCCCTAGTTTTAAGATACCTAGTTTTACCTAGTTCTACACTAGTTTTGAGAACTATTTTATATATTCTACTGTTTTTCGCGGAATTAAGGTGTTCCCGCCCAAAATCTGCGCCGCCAAAACTATGTAAGGCTCTACTCTACGAGATCTTTCTAATGAGCTATTAATCATTAAAATCGATACATAAACAAAAATGTTTTTTTTATGGATGGAATTTATGGGTAACTTCAATTGTGAAAAAATGTATCCCAATATGGAGATGAAGAGAAAAGGACTAGTTGAAAACGGAAAAAAAAGCTGCAAATACTCGTCAAATAGAAATAGAATAGAAATAAAAATGAAAATTTCGAATACGTGCTGATAGGAAACACTGGCAAACGATATTCGGATTTACCGTGGATGTCTCGGAAACAACAGCGCGTCCCCTTATTTACATACACTTGCTTGTTAGCTTTCGAGTATGTGCTCCAATCAAGTGGACCTTTAAAGAATGTGGGAATCGGCGTGTACGTCGCGACGGTTGACGATACAACACGTCGATATGTTTGTGCTCGCCTCTTTCTCACCGCGCCAGAGAGCATTCTTCAGGTAGCCACACGTACCCAACGTTCCCTTATCTCTTCTCTCTTACACACACACCGCATCTTCATTTTTTTTACTGTGGATTTACATTACAAACACAAAACTTCGCCTATTTACACGTTAACCATCAACTAGAATACTTAGGTATTCAGGGAAAGAATAATGTTTCATAAAGCGCTTGCGCATTGAAATGTGTCATTATCGATTAGATGAATTTTATTATATTTTAATATCTAATAATCTTTAAATATATTAAAAATATTTAGGTATGTGATAAAAGAGGATGATTTAAAAAAAAGATTAATAAATTTTTCTTCCTTAATTTTCTTTTATATAAGCTTATAAATCTCCCTTAACTTCTACCCTCCTAATACAAATCCCGGAAGTAGACGCTTTCCGACTCATAAATCGTTTTTGTAGCTTTTCCGGATTTTCCACGAATAACATTCAACGTTTTATGCTTTCCTGATCCGCATTGGCGGCACGGGGAGCTTCGGCGGAATTCCGGGAGACACCGGAAACTCCGTGCGAAGCCCCAAAGCTCGGGTAAGCTCCCTAAAAAGCTCTCGGGGTTTATGATCGCCTGGTCCGAATTTCCTAGAGAAAGAGATTTTCCGTTGAATTTTCCACGACGACAATCGTATTTCAAAACAAATTTGACGTAAATTGGTTTCGCTCGCGAATCGAGGGCGCGCTTTGAACTTTAAAGGGAGGAGCTTATAAGCCGACTCGTGACAAGTTGGGCGGAAAAGCTTGTAAAAGTTACGAGCGAGGGAATTTGTAATGAGTTTGTAAACTTCGTTTTGAAAGGAGATTCTTTTATTTTTTTTTTATTTAAGGTGAAAATGAGATCATTTGAAAGTTGTAGGAGTAGTTAAAACCGGTGTGTATAAAATAAAATTCCGATCACCTTTTTCCTGTCAATTATACGAACTTTCGCAACTTTTTTATGCCGTAATCGTGTACCGAAAAAGCAGATTTACCGGCTTTGAGCAGGCTCGTGTATACCAGATCGTTTCCATCGCTTTTATCTGGCCACCTTCGCTACTCCGGCATACATAACACTTGTTTAGCATACGAGCGAGAGTCCCCTCGAAGATGGTGAAGGCTGCGGGGGGCGGTACGCGATAATTACAGTTGAAAAATGCTCGGCCATTAACACCTACAACGTCCCGTTGGTCGAGCTCTCACTTTATCATTGCTCGCGCGATTTCCAGGCGCTTTTCCTGGCGCCGGCCTTTTATTAATTGGCCTCTTCACGAACAGTATGGGTTGCGATAAGGGTTCCACTACGGTCTCTTGGTCGAGAAAGCGACTCTTCGATGGACGACCCGATTTACCGAATTTTATGTAATGCGATACCGAAAATACGCTGCGAGGTTCTCGGAATCGTGCCTTATTGATCGCTAAACGAGCCCAAATGACCACCTCATTAAGATTTCAATTAATAAATTACTTTTAGCTACTGAATTAAATACATTTAAAATAGAAGACATTGACAATGAAGTAGAAAAGTTCTCAAAAGACATACAAAACGCAGCCTGGGCTTCAACGCCAATTTTAACATCAAAACCTAAATCTAATATTTATCCTAAATTCATTAGAGACAAAATTGCAGAAAAACGGAAAGCAAGGAAGAAATGGCAAACCAATAGAATTCCTAGTGATAAAACTAAATGAAATAAAATAACAGCCGAATTAAGAGCATTAACAGAATAATATTCAAAATTACTTAAAAGACCTTCCTGACGATGCCAGTACTAATTATTCTCTGTGGAAGGCAACAAGAAAGGTTAAAGTTCCAAAAATACATACACCTCCAATTCGAAATAATATGGAAATTGGGCTAAGAACAATCAAGAAAAAGTTAATTTGTTTGCTGAACATCTGAAAGAAACTTTTACATCAGACAGTCCAACAACTATGCTAAATAGTGTCCCTAGCGTAATTCAAAGTGATCAGCAGAGTAATATGCCATGTGTAAGAATGAAAGAACTGTATTATGAAATACCTAATTAATGCTGCTTTTAAACAGAAATACTTCCCAAGCATATGGAAAGTTGCTGAAATAATAATGATACCAAAACCTGGTAAACCCTCCACAGATATTACATCATATAGGCCAATCTCATTATTACCCTTACTATCAAAACTGCTTGAAAAATTACTATTAAAAAGACTAAAATCTGTCATAGAAGAAAAAGCCCTAATACCAACGCATCAATTTGGGTTTCGGACAAACATGCAAACATGCAACAATAGACCAAGTGCAGAGAATAACAAATACTATCGAAATATCAATGGAAGAAAATAAAATCTGCTCCGCCGCATTTTTGGAGCTTTCAACAAAGTCTGGTTAGATGGTTTAAATTACAAACTAAACCAAATACTACCATCAACGTATAGTCAACTATTAAAATCGTATCTTTCTAATCGACATTTTAGAGTAAAACACGAAAACGTTAATTCACCACTACATGAAATACGAGCCGGAGTTCCTCAAGGAAGTGTGCTTGGCACAACACTGTACTTACTCTACACATTCGACCTTTCTCAGGCACCAGAAACATTAACAGCTACATTCGCAGATGACACAGCGATCTTGGCTGTTGCAAAAAATGAAGTAGTTGCAGAAATAAGTTACAATTGGTCTTAAATTCAATAAAAAACTGAACCAAACGATGGCTAATAAAACTAAATACAAATAAATCGACATACTAAAATTTACTTATAAGAAAGTAAACTATGTCCCAGTACATATAACTATGTCCCTTACGTCGATACCGCAAAATATCTTGGTATGACGCTGGATGCCAAATTCAAATGGATAGCTCACGTCAAAAAAAAACGTGAGAAACTTGTTATCAAATTTAGACACCTATATTGGCTTAGTGGCAGAAAATCAACGCTATCATTAAGAAACAACTTGCTAATATACAAGCAAGTATTAAAACCAAAATGGACATACGGAATCCAACTGTGGGGTTGTACCTGCAAGACAAATGCAAGTCTGATTCAAGGATTCCAGAACAAAGTACTAAGGTGCATCGTGAATGCACCCTGGTATATAAGAAACACCGACGTCCATCGCGACTTGAAAGTAGCATCGGTGTCATCAGAAATTGCATCTTTCTTCGGACTTTAGAAAAAAATATTGGGTGTAAATCCAAGAGCACTTTATGTACTCTGTACCGCGCATACTTTAAATTTAGTAGTTAATGATGCTGCAAATATGTCAATGCAAACAATTTCCTTTTTCCTCCAGCACGAAACGATGGAAAGTCATGAACGATAAAATCAGTGGATTAACACTTAAACCATTATCAGATACACACTGAGGAAGTCGAATTGAGGCAATAAACCCCTTACGGTTTAATTTAACAGAAATTCTTGGTGGATTACAGGAAATTGTTGATAGTAATGGAAATGGAGAAATGTCCTTTGATTTAAAGACAAAGCATATGGCATTGTCTCTTGAGAATAAAATGGAATGTTTCAAATTTATATGTCCAACATATTCTTTCAAATGTTAATATTGTAAGTAAAATGCTTCAAAATACTAAAATAAACTTGGTAGATTCAAATAAAAAATTAAAATCGTTGGAAAAGGTTCTTAAGAGTTTTAGAACCGATGATCATTTCGATAAATTGTGTAATTCTGCTTCTTTAGTCGCCGAAAATATACAACTAGATCCAGATTAGCAGATTAGCTCTGCATGGTCGCAGAAAAGATCTTTTCACTAGTTGTGCAAATCTCTTTGCATTTATTTTTTCTACTGCTGTATAAATATTGTGGCTCAGTTCGTCAAGATTTTCAATCGGTTTTTAATACACTGTTTATTTTATACAATCCTAATAAGAAAATCAAAGGGATTTAGACCCAAATCATTTTTCTGGCTATTCTGTATACAATACCGTACAGGACAAGCATAATTAGCTGGGCAACCATCTTGTTGAAACCACATTTCTCTGTAGATATTGAGTGGCACATCTTCTAACAAATTAGTTAAATTATTTTGGAGGAAATACAAATAACATACGAAAGTATGATTTTTTTAAATAACGCGTTTTTTGCAGAATAAAAAGCAATAATATTTTTTAGGAAAAGAAAAATGGCAAGTGTTATACCATTTTGGAATCTTGACTAAACAGGCCATCTTTTAAAATAACTTGCTAAGGGTGTTGTACTACTCCTTTGTTTACAAATCGTGTGTTAAACTAAATAGACATAGAATTTTTTCAACCTTAATTCAATCAAACTAATACATTTTTGTTGTTTGATTTGTGACTGCTATAGTAGCATGATTCATAAGGAATACATTATTAAAAAAATCACTATTAAATTGCGAACATTTCTGACCGAAATACCTAAAGATATGATGTACGGAAACGATTTTTAACATTTTTAAAATATGTCTATTACCACTTAACTAAGAGACAGAATTTTTTTTCTTATTTTTACCAGAACAGGTATGAGTTGGTCTCCCACCCGGTGCCCGCTTGACGTTGAGTTTCGGGACACCTGTATGTATATATATTTTTTATTGTTTGTTTTTTGTTCCAGTTTTTTATTTTCTTTTGTAATAGGGCTGGGTTGTAGAACAAATACCACTTTTGTGGCAATTTGAACGCAGCACCTTTTTTCTGTCATACATTTATTTTGTTTTTGTTCTTCTTTTTAATGATATAAATATGTATATATATTTTTTCTTGATAATAATGTATTGTATTGTTGAAAATAAAGGATTTATTATCGTTAATTAGTATGTAGTTACTAGGTGTTTTACAATTGTGCTATGCATAATACAGAAAAAAAAATTAAGATTTCAATTAATAAATTACTTTTAGCTACTGAATTAAATAGATTTAAAATAGGATTTTTTTATGAAAATCTTATAAAAATTATTTCGACGATATTCAATTATATTGGAGACGTGCGATCCGACAACGCGATATCACGTTGAATATTTATAAAGTCGTTGAAACTGATGAATGTCGCAGTTTCGTGTTGTAATACACAATTTTGATGCGTTGCCCCGTCGTTACCGTCATGCAAATTTTTTCAACGATACCCTCCTTCTTCCCCGTCTTTCCCAGGATCTTACGAGACCGATTGCCCTTAATTTTTCAAGTTTCGAATCCACCAAAAATAAGAAATTTTATTTAATTAATTTAATATTGCGGAGAAATTTAATT